CCCTCCTGCACTGAACCTGGAATGGAGACACCAGCAGAGGGTAACTTGAGGGTGGGATCCAGAGACCCCCTTTCCCCATACCTCTGGGCACGTGGAATGTGGCCCGCCCAGGGGTGGCTCAGATCCTGTCTCTGGATCGCAGAGGTCCCACCCTAATGGAGAAGACAGGACTGACACACAGAGAACAATTGAGAACCCCCGCAAACCCTGGGATGTGCTAGTCACCACGTGCCCTAGGAGATCAGAGAAGGAAGAATCAGAGTGACCACTGTGCAAGAAATCACCCGAAACCAGTTCCCAAAGGAGCACCGAAACCCGAACAGAAGAGCAGGTGTGTGCGTTGGGGGTAGGGGGTAGAAGAGACTAGTCCTATCAGATACTGAAATATATGATTGGTTATCTGGTGAAAACAAGCAAAAATGTCACAAGGGCTTAGAGAATCAGTAAGCCGGCAAGTTCAACGTCGTCATCTTACCCAGGATGGTTTCTGGGCAATGGGATGGGGTGAAGACTCCCTGAGCCAGTAATTTCCCTGAAAGAGTGAGGAGGGAATCTTGAGATGGGGAGAGTTCCCTCCACCCACCTATCCACTCGCCCATCCCTCCCCGCACCCTTTATTCCTGTCATCTTTTCATGTGATAAATTGGAGAGCCCTGCTCTGAGGGAGCAGTGCGACTCTGCTGCCCTTCAAAATGAGAGGCCTCTATGTGTAACCAGGAAGCAAGAGTATTTGAAAAATAAGAGAGAAAAAGAAAAGCGCGGGATGCAAAAAAAAAAAAAAAAAAAAAAGAATCGGCAAGTCCAAGGCAACCATAACTTCTTCCCTCCATTTGCCGACTGAATTCACGTCCAAGAATCTTCTGGAACCTTCCCTCCCTGCTTCCACCTGGCCCTACCCCCGACTCCAGGGCCTGGGCTTGGAGATTTCACACCCCATACCCCTTCTCCGCCCTCCTGCCCGTCTGCCACGCCCTCCTGCTCCCCAGGGCCCTACCCACCCCTCGCTCCGGGGTCGCCCCTGACGCCCAACCGCGGCTGACGTCGCACGCTCCAGCCTCAGTCCACCCTGGGACCCTGCATTTGGCAGCCACGCGAGCCCCTCTCCAGCTCAATCAAGCGGCCGTCGCACTGGAGACTGAGGACCCCTGCTGGGGTCACCCCTTGCAGCCTCCTCTCCCATGCTCGCCAGTCCTCGCCACCCCCGCCGCTTGCACCAGACCCAAGCGCTCGTCCTCCGCTTCCCCTGCACCCTGGCCTGGTCACACCTCGGAGCTTGTCCCCACCTGGCCGTGCCTAGAGTCTGCCCGCTGGGTATCCCACACACACCGCTGGGCCTCACTGCCTCTCGGTGAGCTGTGGTGGCTCGGGTCCTGGTCCCCACGAAGCTGCGACCGGCAGGCAGCTTTCTTCCCTGCGCGGGGCTCGTTCCCTGAGCCCAGGCCGCTCCGTGGCTGCAAGAGCTACCTTCCCACCCACGTGTCCCCAGGTGTGCGCACAAGCCCAGGGTGAGACCAGGGGCTGCTCCCTGCAGAGGCCGACCTTGCAGAGGCGACTCTGTGAGCGCACGGGGCTGCAGGCGTTTTATTATGAAAGGTAGAAACTTTATGTAAGCAAAGGCCGCCCTCTTTGCGCAGTGGGCAGCGCGTCAGTCTCATAATCTGAAGGTCCTGAGTTCGAGCCTCAGAGAGGGCAGCTGTTTTGTTGTGTACCATGGCAGCAAAGATGCTTAGAAGCAGCTAGAAGCTCCTAGAAGCAAAGCACTTTGGACCACGGGAAAAGAGTAGGTGTGCCAGTGAGGTACCAGAGGGTAAGGATGTGTCACCACCAGAGGAGCCAGGTGTACAGAAGCAGGGTACTGAGCTACAGGGCGGCGTAAACACATTGTTATGTAAACTCACAAATGAGTCAACCTCGCTCATAACAAAAGAAACTCAGATCACAGCCACAGGAACGGCTATTGTCCCCTCTCTCAGGAATTAAAATTCACAAATGGGGCCAGGTGCATTGGCTCACATCTGTAATCCCAACACTTTGGAAAGCCAAGATGGGAGAACAGCTTAAGCCCAGGAATTTAGAGACCAGCCTGGGCAACATAATGGGACCCTGTTTCTACAAAAAATAAAAATGAAAAAAATTTTAAAAATAGCCAGACGTGGTGGCAAGTACCTCTAGTCCCAGCACCTCTGAGGTGGGAGGATCCCTTAGGTCAAAGCGGCAGTGAGCTATCATCACACCACTGCACTCCAGCCGGGGTTTAAAGACAAAACAAAACAAAACCCTCCACAAATGAGAAAACACACACTGTTGGCGTGAATGTAGGCAAATGGACACCAAGCGTTGCTAAAAGCTAAATTGAGTCAATTCCTCTGGCAACATCTGTGAAAATCACAGCCTCCTAGACTACTTCCAATCTCTTTTTCCCCCGACCTTCCTCGGCTAGGAGAAAGCCCTTGTCTCCACCCTCGCTGCAGACCCAGCTTCCAAGAGCCAGGAAGACCCAGGCAGTCAGCGCCCAGCCTCAAGAGATCCAGGAGAGGGGGATGGGGCGTGGGTTAAATGACAAGCTCTGATTCTATCTCTAGCTGAATCCTTCTGTATGTTTCATTACAATATCTTCTAATTATTTTGTAGTTTATTCTCTATTAGTTATTTAGAAGTATATTAATTTCCAAAATAGAAAAATTCTAGTTATGTTTTTATTATTTATATCTTAATTGCATTGTGGTCAAATAATATATTCTGTAAAACTTAAATCCTTTGAAATTTATGGCTCAGGTATATGGTCGTTTGTAAATGCTGTGTGTGTGGGAGGGGTGGGGGTGTATTCTGTAGTGGTTGTAGGCCTTGTTCTAAGTTTTCTAATCATGTTATTCAAAGCTTCTGTACCCTTATAAATTTTTTGTCTATTTGAACTGCTGGTCACTGTGAGATACAAATTTGTCTTAATTTGTTGATTTTTCTTTTTGTATTTTGAGGCTACAATAACAACTACATAAAAATAAAATTATTGTGCTTCCTGATGAATTGAACCTGAACTGAACACTTATGAAATGTTCACCTTTATCTCAAATATTTTTTGTATATTGTCTAATATTAACATCCACTTTCTTCGATTTGTGCAAAGTATCTTCATTATGCTGTACTTTCTGTGCCCTTATGTTTTAATGTATCTTTCAAACACAGTTGTGATTTTTTAAAATTGTTATATGATCTCTACAGATTAATAGGAACATTTAAACCACTTACATTTAATGTAATTACTGCTATATTTGGATTTAAATCTATTATTTCAGTAAGCTTTTCCTTTTCAGGTTCTTCTTTGTTCCTTTTTTCCTTTTTCCTCTTTTTTTGGATTATTATTATATATTATTCCAATATTTTCCCTCTTTGCTTGGAAGCTGTACACTTGTTTAATATTCTTTTAGCAATTAACCTAGAGATTACAATGCTACTCCTTGATTTATCAACACTGCTATTAGGACTCTTACCTTATTTCCAGAAAGCATTTTAAAATTCTTGTATTCCCACTCCCAATTATTACCCTCCCAACTTGTATGTCTTTATTTTTAATTCTCTTGGACATAGGAGTGGAATTACTGAATCATATGGTAACTCTATGTTAAGCATTTTGAAGAACTTCCAAACATTTTCAAAGTGACTGCAACATTTTCCAGTCCCACCAGCAATATATGAGGATTCCAATCTCTCCACATCCTTGTCAACACTTGTTACTGTCTTTTTTACTCTAGCCATCCTAACAGATGGTAAGTGATACCTCCTTTGGGTTTGTTTTCTTCCATGCAGTAGTCCAAAGTGAACAGCTTATCTCGATGTCTGACTCATGCACAGAGGATGCTTCTAGGATAGAAGCATCCTGTGTTTCTGCAATGCCCTGGGGCCTCCACATCATTTGCCTTGAGCTGGTAGAAGTGGAACAAGACCCTGGAGGGAACAGTCCTACTTCTTTAGGCCTAGCCCAAAGCTGACACATATTATTCACCCATGATCCCCTGGCAAGAACTCAGTTCCTGACAACACCTACATGTTGCAAAGGATGGCAAACTTGGCCCTTGGCATTGCAGCTTCCTCCCAGGGAAAACTCTAAGCCATGAACTTCAGTGGGCAGCTGGCAGTCTCAGCTATACAAACACCAAGCCAAAAAGAGGACGCTGATGGAAGAAGACTAGAAAGCAGGCCTTATGGCTTTTTTTCCAGGAGCTGGGGCCTTTCCAGCCCAGTGAAGCCCAGATATACTACTACACTGTCACATTTTCAAACATGAGGAAACTGTCCTGAAACAGTGAGCTAGGTAGCTTTGATTAGCACCAAACACCAGAATTAGCATCAAGACTTTTAAAAAGTCAAATAAAGTGAAGTAGCATGAAGCAAGGAGCTTCTCCATCATTGAAGTTAGGCACAAAAAGGGAACCTGTCCTCAGAACATGGCTAGACCAGCTCTAGGAGTTTTACCTGAGTCAAGAGTTGAGCATTGTTGGTCTATCTATCACAGTCTGAAAGTTGGTACGTAGTCTTACGTTTCTTGAGCTTTAAGATTCCAAAAATTCCCCACTTGAAAAAAAAAAAAAAAAGTTTACAAACAAAATTAAGTCTGGTCTAAAATTCCTTCCCCACCCTGGAGTTTGCTGAAGGCATAAGCAATCCATCACAATGAGTTTGTGACTTGAAAGAAAGGGACACATATCCAGGCCATTTTGCTTTCTGCTTTGCTATTTTATTCATTGCAAAGGGATCTCAAGTTTCCCACCAAAACCCAGAAATCAGTAGTAGAAAGATAACAAAGAAAAAAGCTCCAAGCCATCTGATTAAAGTCTGGGAGTGTGGGCTGAAAGCGGGGTATTGGAGGGGAGGAATGACCTGCCACCCAAGCTAAAGCAGAGGGGATGGCAGGTGTTAGAGGTGTCCAGCACCCTGAAGCCATCCTCACAGCCACACCAGCCCAAAGACTGGGTCTTCACTGGCAGGACCATGCCATACCACCTTTAATACAAGAGCTGGTAGACGATGGCACTGCTCTTGGAGCCCATGACCAGATACTGGTTGTCAGAGGATACATCACAGCACAGGATACCTGAAGACTCCTCTATCTAGATGGATGGAAGGGCCAAAAAAGGGATCACATTTGGGGCAAAGATTGGGCCAGACATGGAGGCTTCATTTAGGGCTGTTTCAAGGCTCAGTGTAGACCTAAGGCTCAGGTGGAGGACAGGGCCAGGTCTCAGGGCTCAAGGTGACTTGGGAGTTCATCGGATCTGAAGTCCTCTTTCCTCTACTCTGTAAAATGGCCCTGGGTGCCATCTCAGAGGTGTTTTCCAACACCCACTGGAATCCAACCAACTGGGACCTGGAGCTATAAGCTCTGAGTGCCTGGGTTCAGGCATCTCTCTGTGTTCAGTACCTGAAACAACTTTTGTAGAGAAGGTGCCTCCAAGCCACTGAGGCGCGTATCTATCGCGGTCACAAAATAGCTCCCTGGTGAAGGAACGAACAGATGAGAGGCCAGAGACTAATCCTGCATTCTAGTTCCAGCACTGTCCCCAACCAGCGGCAAGTCTTTCTCTGCCTCAGTTTCCCTATCTATGAAAATCAGACACACAACCCAAGCCATTCCCTTATCTGCCCCCACCCTCCTACCACACGCAGGATCATGGCTATCACAGAACAACAGAACAATCGGACTGGGTTCATGCCTCTTCAGTCTGCCTGCGTCTTCGGGCTATCATTCTGTGCAGGATCTCCCCTTACGGAGGGAGCCAGAAAAGGAAAGGGGGGTGAATAGAGAAAGAAGAGACGACAGCAAGTTCACAATCGGACACCCAGAGGTGTCACCTGGCTTCTTACTCACCACAGGAGGCAAACTTGAGGCTGTGGTGGCGGGTGTATTTTTTCATGACAGCCTTAAACTGCTCATTCCGACGAGTGTGAAGGAACGCGATATCACTTGTTCTCAAGCCCGCCAATACCCATTCTTCTCCGGGGTCATGGGTAAGGCTGAGGATCTGTTTGTGGAAGCAGGTTTGAGGTCAGCACTCAAAGTTGCCAACACCATGCTCTGTGCCCACCTCTCAAGCTCACACTCCCACCCCTGCCTCCATGCATGACTCCACTGCAGGTGGCATTCTGCCAGTGGTGGCCAGCCAGGCACCTCATTCTGTAAGTCGTGTTGGTGCAGCCTCTGGTAGTTCCTCAGGTCCCAGGAATACAGGGTGGTGTCTTCACCTCCTGTCCAGAATATATTGCCAGTGATGTCCACACATCGGGACCCATATACAGGAACTTCGTGCTTCCTGGTGGGTGGAAAAACAACGCAGAGGGTCACTGAGTGGTTTGGGCCCCCGGGAAGTTTCAGGGTCAGGAAGCCCCTAGGACTACCCCAGATATATCCTCTACACTGACTCTTCCAGCCCTAATGCCAAGAGCCCTAATGCAAAGAGAGGAAGAGTGAGCCTCACTGGCAAGCCCTCCCCCAGGTACACCCGAGTGGCTCTGGAGGGAGCTCATACCTGATCAAGATTTGGTTCTGCAAATCCCAAATCTCAACAAATCCATGGAAACAAGCCAAACAGATATGGGCATCAGAGGAGACAGCCAGAGAATAGCACGTGGGGCCCGTTGAGGTCAGCCGTGCCCTGACCTGGGGGGTGGGTGCCAGGTCCCAGAGAGTCACGGCCTGGGATGCACCCCCTGTGATCAGGCTCTGCTCATCAGGGAACAGCTTGCAGGTGACAACACAGTCCTGGGGATCCTGTAGGAAGGGTTCACACACTGGTATCCCCTCAGGGCACTGACCCTGGGTCTCAAATCAGAGGCCCTGTCAGAGTTCCCTGAGTCCTGCTTTGGACCCCCCTCACCTGCAAATCCAGCTGGGCCTGAGGGGCCTTGTCTCCCGCCTGCAGCGCACTCTCATCCCACACCCTGATGTAGCCGGAGCCACACGTGTACACGTGGTGGGTTGAGCCGCTGATGGCCACAGCGTAGACCCTCTTTCCATGGAGGAGTGTGCCAACCTTCCAGGAGCCGTGTGGGGCCCTCTTCTGCCTGACCACAACTTCATCTGGAATGGGGGGCTGGGCAAGGAGAGGGTGGGTAGCAGTGGCCCTGACCTGCTATCATTAATAGGACAGCCTACTCCTGTCTTCCAGCTAGATTCTTAACCACCCACCCATCCACCCATTCACCCACCCAACCCCTGGTTCCCAGGGTCACAGCTCTTAAAGAAATGACACTGTGAGCTGAACACCTACTTCTCAGGATGGGGGAACAGGGAACATAGCTCAAAAGCAGCAGGAGCCCAGGACACCCCCCTACCTATGGGAGAGAGAGTGGAAGTGCGGACACATGGTTTCTTGATTGGGGGTAGGTGGGAAAGGAAAGATCCTCAGTACAAAACAAAATGAGACACTTACAATTGCTCTAAGCAATGACAGGACTTCTTCACTGGGAGGGGAAGAAGAGCAAGGCTGGCCTGCAGGGAAAGAGCAATGCCCACCTGCTCACAGAGTCCCACGCTTCAGGGAGAAGGCTGCACTGTTGACACCAGGCCCCCGTTCCCAGTCCCCCATCTGGGGCCCAGCTTGGGCGACCACACGCACCACCATGACCGGTACTCACCAACCTCAGAACCCAGCAGGAAGCTACGACACACAGAGAGAGGGAGGGAGACAGAGCGTGAGCCACAGAGCTTCCTGCTGGGATCCCCTTTCCCCAGGCCAGTTGGCCATCCCCACCCAGCCGTGTTCAAGCAAGACCTGCTTGGGCTGGACTCTGCTGCTTCTCCTAGTTGTGCCTCAGGGAGCCCAGCGGCCTGGAGCTCAGATCTACCCAGGCCCTGGAGGTGCCACTGCTGCTGGGTCACCGCGCTTGTCTCTTGATCAGCAGGGCTGTGCTGTACTGGGGGGCCCGGGGGCTGCCAGGGCACTCCATACAGACTGCCCAGTTGGTGCTGCACTTGTGGCTCAGGCTGAGAGGAAACGCCAGAGCTTTCTGGTACATCCCTCCTCTCCTCTGGCTCACCATCAGCCCCGAGCATTCTGAACGATGCCTCTTCCTTCTCGCCACTCACGTTCTTAGATCAGTGAGGTGCCTGGACCACCTGGTTCTAGGTCTTGAGAAAGAGACCCGCCAAACAGATCCCGGGTTCCCAATGTGTCCTGATCCCCTGTAAGGTGAAAAAAAAGGAGAGGCAGCTATGCACATGTACTCTGTAGGGTCTCTTTAGAAGGGGCAGAGAATGGCTCCTTTGATGAAAAGATTCACAAGACTGGTTGCCAACTAACTTTTTCTATTAGGTGTTGGCGGCAATGACGTTAAGGGTGAAACTGTCACACAGGCACTTTGAGATGTTAGTGCCAGGCATTGTGTTTTTCCTTTCATGCACATGGACTGCATTTCTGGTCATTTAAAAACCAAACTCACTGGCTGGGCACGGTGGCTCACGCCTGTAATCCCAGCTTTTTGGGAGGCCGAGGCAGGCAGATCACAAGGTCAGGAGTTTGAGACCAGCTTCACCAACACTGTGAAACTCCATCTCTACTAAAAATACAAAAATTAGCCGGCCCGGTGGCACATGCCTATAATCCCAGCTACTTGGGAGGCTGAAGCAGGAGAATCATTTGAACCCAGGAGGCAGAGGTTGCACTGAGGTGAGATCGCACCACTGCACTCCAGCCTGGGCAACAAAGCAAGACTCTGTCTCAAAAAAAATCAAACTCACCTTTTCATCGGGCTGTACATATTTCCAGTGAGGGCTCATGCCTAAGCTAAATAAAATATAAGGCAACAGGAAACTCCACACACACCATGTGTCTCTCACCTCCTAGAGGGGTTGGAGGAAACCCCAAGAGACCATGAGAATATAAGGTGTCCTACTTGGACGGGGCAAGGCTATCTAATGATGAACTTGGCTTGGAGGTGATTACTATTTCCCACTATGGGATAATTCTGAGAACTGGCTACAATCACTCAAGTAGAACACTCGGCATTGTACAAGGCTAGTGGTAAACAATCAGTGGAAGGTAGTACACTTATCTGAGGCCTGTGTCAGGGACCAGAGCTTTGAAGATTTAAGCAGACCAAACACCCTCCCTTCAGGAAGGCTCCTGACCAACAGCCAGCCCTAGGAAGGCCCTGAAGACACCCAGGGTTCTAGGAACAGAGCATATCAGGAGCCTCAGGGATGGGACAAGACAATGGGCGGGGAAAGGATCTTCCACTGAGAACCACCAGTTTGACCGCCAGGCTCAATAGCTGCCTCTCAAACACCCACGAACTCTATGGCAAGTACGGGGCGGGGCGGGAGTGGGGGGGCGCAGGCTGCCTGCCCTTGGGAAGATGCAGGGGAGAGTTTTACTTCTCTGTGTGTTTGGCCCTGAATTAAATGCTTTACATAGCTGATCTCATTTTATGCTCACAACTATATGGGGCCCATTTTATAGATTTTTTAAAACTGGAGCTCAGAGAGCATTGGGTCCATGATCAAACTGCGAGAAAACAGAGAGAGGAGGTTCGAACCCTGTCCTGCATAGCTCTAAACCACCTCCTTTCCTACCTCCCTATTAGAAGGAAGGCAATATCCACCATTATTACCAATGCAGTGACCTTTAACCTAGTACTTCCACTTCGAAAAATGTACCCTAGAGGTGCACTTGGATATATGCAAAATAACAGATGTACCAGCTGGAGAATAGCAGCATTGATTGTGACAATGTTTGAACATTGTTTGTTTGTTATAACCTTTGCAGAGCCAAGATTGCACCACTGCATTCCAGCCAGGGATTTGGCAGATGACTGGCCAAAGCCCAAATGGCCATGGGAGGGGACTGGTGCAGTAAGTTAGAGTATAGTCATGTGGTAGAATAGTACGCAGCTATTAAAAATAACAAGGACACGGCTGGGCACAGTAGCTCATGCCTGTAATCCCAGCACTTTGGGAGGCTGAGGCAGGCAGATCATGAGGTCAGGAGTTGGAGACCAGCCTGACCAATAAGGTGAAACTCCGTCTCTATTAAAACTACAAAAATATGCTGGTTGTGGTGCCACACACCTGTAATCCCAGCTACTCAGGAGGCTGAGGCAGAAGAATTGCTTGAACCCGGGAGGCGGAGGTTGCAGTGAGCCGAGATTGCGCCACTGCACTCCAGCCTGGGTGGCAGGGTGAGACTCTGTCTCAAAATAAATAAAATAAAATAAAATAACAAGGACACATACATTGATATGGAATATTCCAAGGTGTATTAATAAGTGGGTGAAAACTGCAAGGTTCAGAAAAATGTGCCAAAGGTGCAACTTTTATGTAAAAGAAAAATGGAAATTAAATTCATCTTTGTACATAAGAAATTAGAAACAGTGGTTGCCTTTCAGAGACGGAAATTGGCAAATAGGAAAGAAGCATGGGAGGGAGATTTGTCACTGCGTAACTCAGTACCTTTTCTGCATTTCTGGATATTCAAACCTATGTTAAAAATGGTTGGATCTGGAGCCTTTCTCATCTTGCCCCAAATGTTGATCCTCCTGATTCTTAGTTGTTTAAACAATTTAACACACTCTGCCTGACTGGCATCAGGCTCCTCTAATTGGAGACACCAGGACTGAGTATAGAGCAGAGAAACTCCCAGCAGAGACCACCACTGCTCAGACCCCCTTTTGCAGGCTACATAAAGCTTAAACGCAGTGAAGCTATTTAACCAGGGCTTCAGACTCCAAATTCGCCAGAATTTCACCCTAAGAATAAAACAAGGCTTTCTAGAAAGAGCAGGAAGAAGAGTCAATATCACCGATTCCCTTCTCTTCTCTCTCCCAGAGCTAGGAACACAGAGATCCCTACCCC